AAGAATGATAGACCATGTGCATTGGGTTTTCAACGTTGGGCGTTCAATTTGGTTTTGTTAAGATTGGGTGTTCTAAGAGTTGTTTTTGTTTTAATTTGTATCTATTATAATCGAGATTATAATTGTCATTAAAAAATATCAAACGGCAGGATTCCTTAAAAAAGTCGGGGCTATTAGCGTCACCCTCAAAAATACATGTTGTGAATTACTCCCTCTGACATAAAAAATGAAAATTTAAAAATAATGTATTTTTATATTAAAATTTTAATTTTTTCATAAATTAAAAATAATTAAAAAGATTTTTAATTGGTGAAAAAAAATTAAAAAATTTGATATGAGAAAATTCTTATTTTCTATGTCGAACAAATAATTTGAAACGCAATGACTATTATACAGATTGCACCAAAAATTATAAGCGCAATTATAGGCATTGATTATTAATTTAGGGATTGTGATTCTTTCCATTACATATTTGTAATAGAAAGGTTCCATTATATCATCCAATGGTAAGTGTAATGATCTTTTTTAATTTAAAATTGAAAAATCTAAAAATCTCCGAGATATTGATTTGTGATCATATTTCAATTTAAAATAATAAATAACAATCAAAATCAAACAATCAAGACAAAAAGGCACAGCGATTTAACGTATAAAAAATCACAATTGGAGCGCCTTCAATCGTGATAAAAAACCACAGGCTAAAGCCACAAAACAATCCACTAAAAAAACAAAAATAAAAATTACACAAGAGTACTCTCAATTACATAGTGAATCCACTCCCAAGTTGAACCAAACTCGATGTGCCCCTTTCACCACCGTCTTCACCTCAGAATTGTCTTGCTCAACGTTATATCCACAATGCTGATATCGAATCCACAACGACAAGCCACTCCGGAATTCACTGAAGAACAACTCTCTTTTTTGTGAATAAAAGAAAACAAACAAACCGCTTGATAATGTTGATATAAAGTTCATGAATCCATTGATCACTTTTAAATCATCAAAGAAATACTCATAAAGCACTCTCCAATATAATACACTTTGCTTTTTTCTTCCTCTCTAAAAGTCTGAACAACTCAAATCCTAAAACGAGCAAACAACACACTATATAGTAAACTGAATCGTGAAGACTGCTCGAGCGTACACTTCACTGCTTAAGTGGTGTGAGTAAAGGCGGTGCAAAGCATATAGGCTGACTGCTCAAGCACAACTTTCACCACTTGAGCGGTAAAACTTTCTTCCTAGAAGTTCAGGCGCATTACAAAAGTACCGGATGATCATTTTCTTTGTTCGAGCACACAAATGACTGCTTGAGCGGTCAAACAACTTTGACTGCACTTATGCATAGTCGGCAAAGTGGCAAACATGAAAGGATCAAGATCACAAACTCCTTTGCATAAGCACAATTCAGGTTGGATTCACACCTAAACACTCATAGTCTCACTAAAATAAAAGAGCAAATAAAATTATAACTGAAATGAGTTTTGTCAAACGGGATTATCAATTACAAAAATCTAACAAAAATAATTATAAATTTATATTTTAATTTCATAGTCATTAGATTTGTAATGAAAAATTTTCATTACATATATGAAATGGCGAGTATCGAAATATTTAATTTAGTATGTTGATGTGTTGTAAACAAAAATTATATCAAATAAAAAAAATTTCACAAGACATTGATAGTGCTTCTCAAAAAAAAAAAAAAAAGGTTAATTATCAATAGGTCCTAATAATTTGACTTAATTCCCATTAAGTCTTATTGAAAATAAGTCATAGTAAAATCGTTGCTAAAAATAATTTTTTGTGACGACTTTTTGCATATGTCATTAAAAATTGACAATTAGTAACTTTTTTTGTTACGATTTTTATAAATTGTTACTAAACTTACAATTAGTGACGTTTTTCTGTAATGAATTTTTCAAGTTGTCGCTAAAAGTTAAAAATTAGGGACTTTTTTCGTAACGATTTTTTTAAATTGTCGCTAAAACTAATAATTAGTAACAATTTTTGTAACAAAATTTTTAAATTGTCGCTGAAAATTAATAATTAGTGACTTTTTTTTAATAATATTTGATAAAAAACACTATTAATTATGATAAGACTTATTGAACAACAAATTTACCTATTTGAACTTACACCTAAGTCCCAAAAAAATTGTATGAACACTCCCAGTGGATTGCAATGAAAAAAGTCATTCATATGGCCCAGTCGACTCCAAAGTTAGGCGTATGATCGAGGTTTGCCATAAGCAAATTTATAGCAATAGTTTAAATTCTCTTTTGTCCATCTAATTTTTTTTTCATAAAATAGAACTTTAAAAACATAAAAGTAATACATTAAAATAGAAACATTGGAGTCAGTAGTACGAGCTTTATTACAAATACAAAAACAATAAAAATTAAGAGTTCTATAAGGAGATATTTAGAGGAATTTTAAATGGGTGGGGTTCACTTGTAATGCCATATATGTGTTTATGTATTTTTTTTCTTACCACGCGTAAAACTCTTTTTAAAGTTTAAGGGTTGATTTGGCATGTTTGAAAAAAGTTAAAAGTCAAAAAAGTCACTATCCTATTTATGTCATATCATCTTATTTAAGTCACATTACCTCTCTAACACATTACTTCAAACCCAACCCAAATTTTATAAAAAGTCAAAAAATATACTTATTAGATCATCTCAAAAATAAATGTACTTTTTATCTTTTTACGAAAAGATGTGCAGAAAAGTAGAGAGATAATATGATGAAAAAAATATAAAAAGATAAAAAAATAGATTATTTTTAAGTTTCCAAACTTGGCCTAAATCTACAAAATAAGGGATTTTTTGGGATGTTTTAAATAAGTGCACTTTTTGACTTTTTATGAAATATGAGTTGGGTTTGAAGTGATGTTACAGAGAGGTGATGTGACTTAAATAAGATGATGTGACTTAAATAGGATAGTGACTTTTGACTTTTTAACTTTTTTTAGAGATGCCAAACTTAGCCTAAATCTAAAAAGTGGGTATGTGTAACATTTTCTTTTATTGGTTTAAAGCACAATGGCTAGATGGCGTGTTTCACTTTTATAAAAGTAAAGGATAAAACATTATTTTATCCCCAAACATTCACGTATTTTTTAATTTGGCTTTCAGATTTTGATTAATATTGAATTTATATCTAAAATTTTGAAATTTTGATCAATTTGATCCTTTACCGTTACATTCCGTCTACAATTAGATGAAATGTATTGATGTAGCACCAAAGTTCATTTAAAATTTCATTTTACCCCCAAACTATATCTTAAAAATTAATTTGCCCTCCAAATATAAAAAAAAATAAATTTAAATATTTAATAAATAATTTTTTATCTCAATAATGAAAAAATTTAAAATTTAAATAATATATACTTTACAAAAAATATAAAAATTATCATTTAGAATTATTTTGAGACTATGAAGTATGAATAACTTGACAAACATGTCGTACTCGTCCTGAATATTTACCGACGTATGATATTTTTTCATAGTCTCAAGATAATTCTAAATGAGAATTTTTATATTTTTTTATATAAAATTTAATTTTTCAATTATCGAGATAAAAAAAATTTATTAAATATTTAAATTTAATTCTTTTATATTTGTGGGATAAATTGATTTTTAAAGTATAATTTAGGAGATAAAATGAAATTATAAATAAACTTTGGTACCATGTTAGCACATTCTGTTCAATTATAAACGGAATGTAACGATATGGGCTAAATTAATCAAAATTTCAAACGTTTAGGTAAAATTAATATTAATCAAAATCTAAAGATCACATTGAAAAAAGTGTCAAAATTTGAGAGGCAAAATAATATTTCCTCCCAGCTTTTGTTTTAATAATATTTGGGACCCCAGAATTTATAACCTCCAGAATCCTCAATTAATTTGGGAATGGAGTCACTGTTGTGCTTTTGTGCTTTTAGCACAGCAGTAACTGTTTTGCCTCAATTTGAGGTATATTATGGGCTTATTTTTATGATATGAATCGGTCATTTTGTAGGGTTTGTTAAGTACTTCATACTTATCAAAAATCATATTAATCGAATATCAATAACTATATGATCGATAATCAAAAAAATAAACAATAAGTTTTTCTTTTGAGAAATAGCATAAAAAATATGCAATTCGATTATATACTTATTGATATTCGATTAATATAATTTTTGGTAGGCGTGAAATATTCAACAAACCTTACAAAATGAACGATTCGAATCATAAAAATAAACTCATAATATACCTTAAATTTAGGCACAACAGTCATTACTGTGTGTCTTTAGCACAACAGTAACTCCAATTCCATTAATTTGTTACCACTCATTTATTTATTGGAAAATGGGGAAGACCCGCCAGCACCCCACTGCGTGCCCCCCCCCCTCGCGCGTAATGTGTGGGTGCTGGGGTCTATGGCACTACTGCTTTTGTTTTGTCTTTACCTTCAAATTGAGAGAGATAGCGGAGCAGAGCACCGAAATCGGGCTATGGAAGAAGTAAAGCTCCGAATTTTTTCTTCTCGTAGCGTTCCGCAATACAGATTAAGAGAAAGAAGGATAGCAGCAATAAGGGCAAGGAAAAGCATAGTGAGATGGAAACAGAGACTGATATTCGGGAGGGAAATGGGTGAAAATTATTCTGTCTTGGGGGAGCTGAAGCATCTAATGATCAGTAAGACGTTCAATTTTATTGCAGATCAGAGGGATGAAATCGGATCTTTTTACAGTCGGCTAAGATTCCTAGCAATGATTCTCAAGGATTTGGAAGAGTAGCAGCAGCAGCAGCAACAGCAACAGTAACAGCAACAACAACAGCATGAGCTGAACCATGAAGCTAAAAACCTGGCGATGCTAATTAATAATGTTATCTGCAAGACAAGATTACTCATCAATTCTTCTGATGTTGAAGTTCCAACTCAGAGAGACGGCAAAAACAACGATGGTGAAAGTAATTTTTTTTTTTATAGTTTAAGCCTCACAAATATCATGGAAGAGATTAAGCCGATCGAGGCAAAAGTGGTGCAATTCTATGACCAGATAAATCCGATCCAACTCCTACAAGATTTCAATGATGGAGTCCATTCCTCAATGTCAATGTCAATGTCAGTGGAGAACAGAACCATGGTAGATGAAGAAATTACAGTGCGCTTTGATGATGAGGCGTTGACTATAAAACAGCTACTTGCTGGAGGGAAGAAGCAGCTACAAATGTTAATAATTTGTTGGGATGCCTGGACTCGGTAAGACTACTTTAGCCACAAAACTGTACAATGATCCTTACATCACACACTACTTTCATACTCGTGCATGGACCTATGCTTCTCAATTACCCAGAAAAACAGATACGTTGTTGGACATTTTACGTTCTGTTAATGTCGTCTTTACCGATGAAATTGTAAACATGACCAATGAGAAGCTAGGCGAAAAGTTGTACAAGCAATTAAAAGGCAAGAGATATCTCATTGTCATTGATGATTTATGGGATATTGGTGCTTGGGTCGATCTTAAAATGTATTTCCCCAATGACAACAATGGAAGTAGAGTTATGTTCACAAGTCGCCTCAAAGAGTTGTCTATGCATGCCTCACCTGATTGCCATCCTCATTGTCTGTGTTTTCTCACTGAAGAAGAGAGTTGGGAGTTATTACAATGGAAGGTGTTTCAAAATGAAAGTTGCCCTCCAGAACTGATTGGAATTGGGAAGCAAATAATGAAAAAATGTGAAGGGCTTCCGCTTGCAATTGTTGTAATAGCAGGACTTCTTGCAAAGAACATCAAGACAAAAGAGTCGTGGAAACAAGTTGCCCAAAGTGTAAGATCATACATTGTTAGTGAGCCAGACCAATACTTGGACACACTAGCACTGAGTTACAATCACTTGCCTCGCCACTTGAAACCAGGCTTTCTCTATTTAGGAGCATTTCCAGAAGATCAAGAAATCACGGTGCAAAGATTAATTTGGTTATGGATAGCTGAGGGGTTTATACAAAAATTGAGCAGAACAGCTTGGAGGAAGTAGCGGAGGGTTACTTAATGGATCTAATTCAAAGAAGTCTGGTAATTGTTGCTCAAAAAAGGTTTGATGGTCGAATTAAAGCATGTCGTATATAGCGACCCCGGTCTTTTCCCATTTGATTATTGCATCCGGACTTAGGTTCCGTAGATTCTGTCATTGTATAATTGTTGTTGTTGTCCTGTCACGACCCAAACCCGGCCCTATGGGTTTAGCACCGTAACCGGCCAGTAATCCGAGATTACCGAAGGCCTGCTTAACAGTAATACAGTAAAACAGAGTACAGGGCCTGGCGGAAGCCAATACAGTAATTAAACAATGTCCAATGAGCTGTGACAGTCTGTATGCCAAAAAGATTTTTCATGCATTCATACATAAACAGTACAGAAAGTCTATACAAAATTTACAGTCACACAGTACAGGGACCTAATCCCTTGATAACAGTACAGTAACACTCGGTCTATACAGAACAGTAAAACAGTACAGAAGGGGGAATTGTAAAAGACCCCTAAGCCTTAACAGGTAGGCTCGGAACCTCGCAGTGAGGCACATAGGCTGGCTTGACAAAACTGGAGTCTAACCCACGCTCCTAGCTCCGATCTGGTGCCTGTACACCTACATATATATATGAGCAGTGAGCTAAAGCCCAGTGAATAACATAAAACGTAAAGGGGTTTAGAATGAAAGTCCTTACAGTAATGAAAACAGTTCAATTCAATCAGTATTCCAGCAATCGGTATTTCAGTTGTTTCAGTACAGTAAACAGTCAATATGTGGTACATCATTAGCATAACAGTAACAGTAGGTCTTAAAAGACCGAACAGTAATGATGGCCATCAGTCAGTAAACAGTAGTGGCTCACGAGGGAACCGACAGAGATCTCTGTAACGTAACAGTAACAGTAAACAGTAGGTACTAAGGATGCCACAGTACAGTTCAGAAATAAAGGACATACATTCATTCAGTAATACCAGTTCAGTAACAGTTCAGTTCAGTATTCAAAAGATATCAGTTGAACATATCTTTAACAAATTGTTACTCACAAAGTTCGGGCTAACAGTAAGCTAGAGCGTGTCTCCCAGTCGCCAACCCTACACAGTTAACAGATTGAACACACTAAGCTACGCAGTTGGGAAAGTAACACTTAAACCCTAATTTGCCTCGGTGTGCTCTACATCTATATCCTCAATAAGATGCCTTAAACTAGGTCTAAGAATGCCTAGAATGGAGTGGAGATGCAAAGATACACATTTAAAGCATTTTCAGAAAAACAGAGTCCGCTCGAGCGCATGTTTCCCGCTCGAGCGGACATGCAACAAAGGTACACGCTCGAGCGTAAACTTCCCCGCTCGAGCGTACTGTAAAACAGTGCAGAGAGATGCTGGATGCTCGGATTCCACGCTCGAGCGGCACTTCCCCCGCTTGAGCGGAAGTGCGAAATCTGGAAAACCCAGATTGCACCTCCAAGCTCCAAAACAAGTTCAAAAGCATCAAAACTCGACCTCTTGGGCTAAATTCCAGAAAACACATGTAAACTCATAGTTAAACATGATTCAAAACTCAATTTGAGAAATCAAAGCCCAAGGGTGTTTTATTCAAACCCAATTTCAAACCATTTTCCAAGGAAAATCCTCAAACATGACATGCATGATCTTTAAATCATTTTAAAGCTTCAATTTGATGCTCTAGGGAGCCAATTGATCCAAAAACAAGTTGAAAACATGGACCATTACAAAATTATGAACATGCATGTGAGGAATTATGAACTACAACCTCAAAACTTCAATATATGTACATGCATGCAACAATTAAACTTCAATTCAACAGTAATGAACCAATTCCATGACTTAGTTCTACAATGAAGCATGAATCATGCAAGAATAACTCAAAGACACCCATTAAGATGATGAATGATCTACCTTAGGTGTAGAATTAGAAGTGAGGGAGCTCAAATAGGCAGATTACACTTTCAATTTCAAGCAATTCTTCAAGTTGACTAAGCCAAACCTCCAAAGAACAATTCTATTCTCTCCCCTCTCTCCTCAAGGTCGGCTAAGAACAAGAAGAAGACTGAGGAAAATGTTTTTTGATAAAGCATACACAAGGCTTCAAAATATGAGTAAACAAAGGCCCCACTAGATGCAAAGTGTAATTACGTCAAAACTCTTTTATTAGCTTATTTTAATCTAATTTATCATACCTAATCAGTTTTTCAGGTAAATACACCATAAAATCAACATTAATTACGAGGGTCAGGTGGAACTCAGTCGTTTCTAATTCTGGCTCCCGATAAGGCCTTTCAATTGCGTTTATAAACATATAAGCGATGACAGATATCATACAGTCAAACAGATATAAGCCAATTTAACTAACATATACTCAATGCACATTCGGTTTCCAATTTCAGTCAGTCAGTTCAGTACTTAATCAGTTCAATTATCAGTCATAATCAATTCAGTTTAACGGTAATCGATGGTTTATCCGTAATCAATCAGTCATAAAGTCGGTAACAGTATGAGGGTTTGTTAGCATGTCCCTTATATTTCTCAGTTGGAATTATAGGTTCTGTTGGGCAGTGTTTTTTGTTTCAAGGTTGGTTGGGTTTTAGAAACCAAGTGTTGCTGTCCAGATTTTGGATCTTCGCTCGAGCGAGGAGTTTGTCGCTCGAGCGAGAATGTTGTTTTGGTTCTTCGCTCGAGCCGGGGTTTGGCAGCTGAGCGAGAGTTGCGTCTGGTTTGGACCTGTAGCTTTGCATTCTTGGCTCGAGCGAGCTTTTCTTCGCTCGAGCGAGTTAGTTCGTTCTTCGCTCGAGCATTAGTTCCTTCGCTCGAGCGTGGTGTCTGGTTACAGACCTGAGGGTTTGAATTCTTCGCTCGATCGAGTTTTCTTTGCTGAGGAGCTTTTGGGTTGTTGGCTCGAGCAAGGCTTCCTTGGCTCGAGCGTAGCTTCTCTGTGTCTGTGGCTCGAGCGACCAAGTCTTCGCTCGAGCGAGCCTGTCCAGTTTATATACACAGCAGCGGGTTTTGATCAGTCTTTTTCATTTTCTTTTGATTCCAAACCTAGGTCCGACTTCTCTTTCTCCTACTCACCTTCTTTCTTAGATTGATCTATTTAGTAGTGTTCTACCCTGGTTGCTTTTTAAAATATAGAGGGAGTCGAGGGCTTTCATTTAATCTGAACATTTGCGATTTGGAGCACATTAGTTTTTGGGCACTCATCTCTGTCTTCACCATTTGTTGTTTTCTTCGAGGTAGGGATTTCCTACTCCATTTTATAGGTTTTGTTCTAAGTTTTGTATTTTGATATGTTGGGGATACTTTTGGTAAATTTTGGGAAAAACCCTATTGTATTATTAAATATTGTATAATTAATTCATGGAATTGGGAAAAGATTGGTTAAATTCATGGAATTGGGGAATTCATTGATTAAATGGCGTAATTGGATAATTTGAATCATTGTCTATTGAATTGTTGACATAGTTATTTTCAGTTTAGAAATAATTGTTTTTGGGCTATCGTGAGGATAGTCGTGATTGTTGTAGACATTGGCATGTGGATTAGGAATAACTGAAACTAATCACATTGGTTAAGTCATTAATTTTGACTATTGCATTGATACAGAAAAATACGTGTATTGAATTGAGCATTGCATTTGCATACATTGTTTTTGTTGGGAGGAGATAGGGGATGTACTCCACGTTTAGGGGAAGATAGGGGATGGACCTCTAAACCGGATTTTGTTTGGGAGGAGATAGGGGATGGACTCCATTAGCATCACTTTTATGTGTGCTTATTTAATATAGAAGTGTTTTATTGATACAACACTAAAATGTGTATCAATCTGGAAGTATGAAGTGTTTGATTTGAGCTTGAGTCTCATTTTTTGTTGATATTGGAAGAATGTGAATATGATATGTAATATATTCACTGTTGTAAGTTTGGCCAGGTTCTGAGCCATGTTGATAAAGTGGAAAGTAAAACGTATCTTAGACAATAGTGTCATGAAGCTGTAAAATGAAGTAATTGATTACTCCTGGTTAACCATCTGTTGAATGCTATTGCTTTATTCATTGCTTATATGTGGTTTAGTATATTTCTACTGGGTGTGGCTCACCTTTATGGAAACATCATTTTCAGGTTCAGGTGATAACTACCTCCAAGGACTTAGCTTGGGAGGGTTTGGCTTTGGCTTTGAAGAAGACTACCTTTAGTTAATTGTCTTTATTTTTAGTACATGTAAACATTCAAGCCTAGGGCTTTTCTTGTATTGAGTTAGAACTCATATTTTTGTATCCAAGTGTTGGCTTGGAAAGGATGTAAGCCTGTAGGGCATTTTATTCGATGTTACATGTAATGCGTTTATTTAGTAATACTCTGATGAATGTATTAATAAATTGTTTTCTTTAAAGAATGCATGTCAATGATATATATATATATATAATGGGTTATTTTGAGGCGTGTGACAAACTTTGGTATCAGAGCGGTACCGGTTTGAATACTTTGGGTACGTGGGAAGTGATTAGTATTCACAGTGGGTTCGTCTCAGTTGATAGAGACGTTAGTGTAAAGTTATATGTTTAGGTGATAAATGTTTATGTGATTATTGTGCGTATGGAATTAGTTTCTAGGATGTGATTGGACCTTGAGTTCTTATAGTCTTGTTGAAAGGCACTTGATCACTGCTGCTTCCAACCGAGACTTATAGTAACCGCATTGGACTATCATTATTCGGGAATGAAATTCGTAGGTGCTTATGTGATTATGTTGGCTTCGTGGAATGAATTATTGTTGTCGCATGCATTAGGACGCGAGTGTTTAGCTTAGGCACATTTTATTAATGTGCTAATGTCTTTGTTTCCTTTAATTAGGATGTCAGACCGAGGACTGAGGACGAGGACGGCGGTTAGGCTTGGTAAGGCGGGTAGCAGGACGGTGCCTGTGCCAGAGGAGAATTCCGGTAGTTCAGGAGGGAATTGGCCAGGCCAATATGTGGCCGAGCCAGTGGTCAAGCAGGCTATGGGCGTTCTAGCTCGAGAGATAGCAGGGGCATTCAGGGATGTCAGTAGGCATTCTCAGAGCTGGAATCAAGCTCAAG